GTCTGTCCACAAATTGTACATTCATTTATATATTTAGTAATTTCTTCCCTCATTTTAGGCCAGTAATAGCGACGTGATAAGGCTAAATAACATTCATTGATACCTCTTGGTTAGTTTTACCTTCATGATAGTGTTTAATTATTTCTTGCTGCCGTAAATACTCCTTAACATCTTCTAACTCGGTTTTTACTAAAACCAGATGCATAGAGTTACATTTAAAGTTATTTTGTAAGATTGGGATTATCGAATACATACCTAATGGTGGAGTTATTTTAATAGCAGTCTTTATTTTAGGATTGACAAATCTTTTATTGCATTTGTGACTCTTGTTCTAATGAAGACTCTGAGACTTGTATATCGTACGCGTTGGGTATCAAAAGGTTTAGTAACATTCGGTCTTCTTTTTAATGTCACCTACTATAGTCAAACAAACTTGTCATGGAATTTGTTAAGTGGTTCATCTGTGATGGGTTTTCGAGGATGGATTTTCAGCCGATGTGTGTGCTGTTACAGTAGTAGATCCTGGTGGTTCAGGTCTTACTGATCTATACCACATTCTTTAAGAAGTGACTCTATTTCCTCGTTATTAATTTGTACACGGGATAAAGCGTCAGCGTTGGTATTATATTTTCCTTTTTTGTAAATCACTGTATAGTTAAACTCACTCAATTTAAGTCGCCATCGCGTCAGTCTCGAGTTCGGTTCCTTCAAATTCATAATCCACTGGAGTGGTTTATGGTCTGTAATAATTTTGAATTTCCTACCAAACAAATAGGGTCTAAAATACTTAGTTGCCCAACTATTGCCAAAAGTTCTTTTTCGATAGTACTGTAATTCAATTCACTGTCACTCAATGTTCTAGAAGCATAGCAGATCGGTTTGTCAGAGCCTACTGTGCCTTGTGAAAATACTGCCCCTAAAGCTACGTTGGAGGCGTCTGTTGTCAGAATGAACTCTTTGTTAAAGTCGGGATATTGTAAAATAGGATCGTTAGTTAGTAAGGTTTTGCATTTCTCGAAACATTTGATATATTCAGAGTCTAAAGTTATTTTATTAGTCTTTTTAAGACATTTAGTCATCGGTTTCGTCAGTTTTGCGAAGTCAGGTATGAACTTCCTATAATAACCTAATAGTCCTAAAAATTGTTTAATTTCCTTTGTTGTTTTAGGTAAAGGATAATTTTCTATGGCTCTAATTTTATCGGGGTTCGGTTTAATACCTTCATTCTATTATATGACCAATAAGCGGTTTCAAGTTTAAAAATTCAGATTTGTCCATCTGGATCTTGAAATTGGACTCTCTCAATCTGTTAAATACTTTTTCTAAATTAATTATATGCTCCTGCAAAGATTACTAAAAACTATGATGTCACAAGGTACTAAACATATCTCATTTGTAAACCCTTAAGGATGTTATCCATTACACGCTGAAATGTCGAAGGTGAATTTTTGAGTCCCATTGGCACGTAGAAATTCGAAATGACCGTGTTCTACGTTAAATGCTGTCTTCGGTTGTCTTCAGGATCCCGACTTGGTAAAAGCCAGATGCAAGGTCAAGAGTCGTAAAATACTGACACCTACCTAATTTGTCTAAAACGTCAGTGATGTTTGGATAGGGTATTATCGTCAATGTCTGTCGTTTAACTTCCTAAAGTCCACGACAAGTCGCCATTTTGTCCCCAGCTTTCTTGGGACTACCCAAATGGGTGAGCTCCAAGCAGAGTCAGAAGGTCGTATTATCCCTTGTTCGAGCATTTTACTTATCTGTTCCCTAACTTCCTGACGATGTACAAAAGGATATCGGTAACTTTTGGTATAGACTGGGTTTTCATCATGAGTTCTAATATTATGTTTGATTTTATTAGTGAAGGTTAATGGTTCACCTTCAATGTAAAATATGTCAGCGTAACGCTTACAAAGTGTTTCTAAATTTACTCGTTCTTCGCTATTTAAATGGTCAGTTCTAAGTCTGTCTAAAACTTGGTTTACCCTGTCTGAGTCTAGTTCAGTATAAGAACTTTCAAAGTTAAATAAGTCAAGTTGTAAAGGTCTGTCTATTGGGAATACTATGTCTTCGTCTGTCATATTTTCAATTTCTACTATACCAGTCCAATCAGTCACATTAGTAATGCATTCGTGATAATGCAATTACTTATAGTGTTCTGTTAAAACTACCATCGTCATGATGTATCGGTATACCAACTAAACGAGATGATTTCGCTGGTTTATTTGTTCTGTGTATTTTTTACATTTATAACGCAATAGAGGGATTTTTGCATTGTCAGTGATTAGTATTCGTCTTTAAAATCGATTCTACAGTTTTCTAATTAATCTAATCCTACAAACCATCAAAATAATTATGAAATTTATAGATAAATAATTTTATATTTTTAGTATCATTAAATTCAGGAAAACTAGGAATTGATATTGAGTGTTCATGAACGCTTGTTAATCTAGAATTAGTAACTTCAAAAGGATCGTACATTTTCGGAATATTACTGAAATATTTATCTACTGCTTCAGGGCTTATGAATGATTGGTTTGCTCCTGTATCAATAAGAAGTTTTAAAGGTGGATTGTAAATTTTGATATAAGGTAATTCTTTTTTTGATTGTATATTTAATTCTATTCTGGTGGGGATTTTCGATGGCTCTGTTGAAAATCCTGACGTTTTCTACCTTTGGAATGTCTCGGTTCAATGTCTTTACTAGTACTAGGCATGTTATTATTATAGCGAGTATCCTCTATTGGTGGTAAATCTTGCTGTTCATAGTACTGATTATTATCTGAGTCACAATAAGAGTATTGTCCATAATAGTCATTATAGTCATAGTCAGTATTACAATAATAATTATAGTCAACATAATCATTGTCGTATTCATAATCATTATAATCATTAAATTCATTAAAATTAACTTCTCTAAACTTAAAGTAATTAGATGGAGGAGGATTGCCGAATTTTTGCCAATCATGACCGGGAATTCTAGGTGGTAAGGGTTTTGTCACAAAATGACTCACTCCACTCATAGGCTTAGGGCCAGAATTATTCTGTGGAGGGTTCCTGTTAGGTATTCTAAAACCACTGTTATTATTAGGCAATGGTGCTCGGAACATTTGCTGAGTCGCTGGTTGCATAGGCATGCGCTGATGACTATTAAATTGGGGATTAAAATTAGGTTTATGCCAACTAGGTCCGGGTAAAAATTTAGGAGAATTAAAGTTATTATTCATAGGAGGAAATTTAGGCTGTGTAAATTGTTGGTGTGAGTTATGTGGTGTTAATGGTAATAATGGTTTCTTCAGATCTGTTGCTAAATTATTTCGCTGCTGCAAGTACATAATTAAGTTCATCCTGGACAAATTCCAAAGCCTTCTCAATAGTTTCAGGTCTCATACACCTTATTCGGGACCCGAGAGGATCTTTTAAACCTCTTACAAACGCTTGTAAAGTTAATTTCCGATATAAAATTCTCTTAGCTTCTATAGTTGTCTCTAATGTCTCGTGCAACGATACATAAGACATTATAGTGCTAAAAAGGTTTTGGCATTTGTCATAGAATTCTTGTGGAGTCTCATTACACTGTGTCGCTAATGCTAAGTCATTGTAAAGGGCGGTCTCGTCCCTTTGGTCAGAAAAATTATTAATTAAAGTATTTCTAATTCCTATCCAATTTTCAGGAATACCATTTGAATTTATTGTACGAGCTGCGGAACCAGTAATTTTATTTAAAATGCCATTTATAACACATAAATTCGATTGTGTGAATTTTTATCATTGATTAATATTTGATATTTGATTCATTGAATTACGATCTGATCACATATTCTAATAAATCTAGGGAGAATATGTGGGTTACCGTCAAATTCAGGAACTGGGCGGAGAGCCTTACGTATCAGGATCCATTTTTTTTTAAATTACTAAAACTTAAATTCAACCTACTGTCTAAACTTTGAGGGCAATTCGAGCTCTCAGGATTTATTTAAATCTACTGGAGGGCAATTCGAGCCTTCACTTAATTGACGATTCGAGTCTAACCTAATTGACGATTCAAGTCTACTAACTATCCCTACGAATTTTATGCCTGGAGGACACAGGACTATTTTTCGTAGGACGGAAAATTGTGACGAGGAGAAACAACACTGATGGAATTCAATGTACTCACATAACTCGTCGACTTCCCTGGTTTTCTTTGAGTTGCACTGAAGTTGAGTACGCCCCGGCTGCTTCAAATGTTCTTTGATTTTCGGTGAACGCTTAAGAGCGATACTAGAACACCGCGTGTCATCTAGACCCCGGAAATCTTCTTTATAACGATCGTAGTAGCCCCGAAAGTATCCTACCGACCGCCATACGATTTCGTCAGCCCGGACTCCCAAAAAAAACCAATAATTAGCTAGGTATTTATTATATTTAAACTTATAATTAATTTACAAAATTACATCCGTTATCGATGCTAGATATATACGGAGTGGCAAACATATTTTATTTAATTAAAATGTTAAATCGCGGTAAACACTTGTCACAGAGTAATTCTTGAAACCGGCACGTTGACCATACACGTGCCGCGATGTCAGCAAAGTTCTTTAGGGTACCGTATGTAATTTGCGTCCTTTAATGTTTGATAAATATCGAAAATTCTAAAGCAACTGATTTTGTAATTATTAAATTAACTTACGTGAGGAAGCACCGCAATGCGTTGCATTTGCGAGCGTTCGTTGCGGCAGATCACACGTTAGGATCACACGTTCACACACACAAAAATAACAACCCAACTGTAATCGATGTTTATAAGTGGTAGTTTTAAAACTTAAAATAATCCATAAAAACGTATCCTGAGCGTTTTTTAACTGTTATTTTAAATGCTCTAATATAATTATAATATTTAAACCAGACATGATTCTATTGGACTTGATTGACTTTCTGATTATCAAAAATGATAAGAATGTAGTCTTTTAAGTTTTATACATAATTTAAGTAAAATACAAAATATAAATACATACATGTTGTTTCAGTCATTATTTACAGATTACACAAGTGATGTGATTGCAACCGCTGCTTTTGGTGTAGAAACTACCGCCACCCTCACAGGAAAAGACCCTATCAGAACTGTGGCCAAGACCCTAATGACCGTCGACTGGTACAAAGGATTATGTTGGAGTACTATATTTTTCTTTCCGAAATTGGCGGAATGTTTGAGGTAAAGAAAATGTACTCTCACTGTAACTATAACTCACCATCCACGGTCGCTACTCATAAAGGAACGCAACAGTATTTTACTCTATTTCCAGTATTAACTCGTCTTTCTATATTATCTTTATGCTTTCCATACATACTTCCTAAATAATTAGTTTTATATAATACTAGCTGGCCTGGCGAACATCGTACCGCCTAACAGTCGATTCTTTATTTTTTTAATACTTATTCTGCTATTCGGGACACCGGTCTAGCTAGTAAGATAAAAAAAATAAAGTTGATAAGACACCAAATACATTATGTCAAAAAATAAAAATTTACCTTCTCGGAACCCCTCCACTAACACTTGAACTTTATGATATGGTATTAATGTTTAAATTGACTTTTAAGTATTATTACGAATATTATGTATAGGAATATAGAAAAGTGTTGTTTTTAGACTTTTTCACTCATTTTTTTTTAATTTTTCTCTCCGTAGGAACCATCCTCGTACTTCAAGGAATATTATAAAAAAAGATTGGCCAAATTGGTCTAGGCGTTGTTGAGTTATGCGCTTACCAACACATTTTGCGATTAATTTTTATATTATAAATTATAGCAAACGCTAGGAGTTAAGGGCCTGATCGATGGACGAGTAAGACCGCGGTTTTATGGCTCGTCGGTAAAGCTCGCCGGTGTAGGTATCATTGCAAAACCACGGTTTTAAATACCGCCGAGCCTGGCTCGCGGCTCGTCGTCGTGCTATATTTTTTACTCGGCTCGCCATGCAAAACCGCATGTCGATCACGGCCGGCGAGCCGAGCCCGGAGCCGTCACTTTTCGACCACAGCGCTAGAGGACGGATGTGCGCCAGAAGAGCTGTGTACCTACCTACTACAAACTTCGCGTGCGTGCTCAGTCCGTGTCACAATAATGGATCTACGTACTTGCAGTGCGACAACTCTACCACAATATCAAGTTCAGACAGCTACAGATAATCAACAATTTGACTCAGGAAACTCAAACGAGCTCTCATATCTTGTTTCAAATTTTTTACCATAACTTTGTTTTTTTTTCAAATATTGTTGCATTGTTCTGAAGTAGCTACTGTGAAAAATTTTAAGTTCAAATAAATATTTTACTTACCTTCATGTATTCGTTTTTCAATGCACCGTAAATAGTTTTGCATGTCTCTGGAATAATTCTTCCCAAAGTTTGCCTAGATATTAAAGTAGGATACTGGTTTGATTTTTCCCTTCTGCCAGGTATCTGATTGTAGCAGTCAGACGTTCATGTGGAGAAATAGCTTCTCGCATTACAGTGTCTTGTTTTTGTATTAAAGGTGTCTCTAAAGATAACAACTCGTTGTACGATTCCTCAGACATTCTCAGATAATTTTGGTAATCAAGTGGCTCTGCTGCCAATTCTTGAATTAAATGGGTATACCCAAACTTTAGGGCGTTTTCTTTTTTTTTTTCATAACTGCGTAATATCCTTTGGCGAGATAACACAAGGCTTCAGACTCGGAACAAGACATGTTTGCGACTGTTTTGCTTGCTAATCGATCAGCACCAACGAGCCGCGAGCCAGGTTCGTCGGTATTTAAAACCACGGTCTTACTCGCCCGTCGATCATAGGCTTAACGAACTTCTAAAAAGTAGTCAAGTCAACTCAAAATCCTTTATTCATATAGGAAACACAATGTTCACTTATGAACGTCAAAAAAACAAAATATCTGAAATGATTCTAGTTTTACATACATAAATAATAATAAAATAAATTAAAAACAAAGATTTGTCCTCTATCAGCAGGAGGCATGGTGAAATAGGAGCACGCACTTATATTCTCGTGGCATCAACACGCAAATACATAGTCAAAATAATTAACTAACACCGCATACACGAATTCGAGTACGACCTGTCACCACTTAGTGGAACCCGTTCACGAGTATGACGCATGGCCAGCCATTCGGCCCCCTCACCATATTTTAGGGAGAGAGACAACCTGACGCACGGAGGCCGACACAAGCAATGACATTTAAGCTAGCATGACGATCCTTGAAATGTGAACTTGGCTACATAAGAAAATAATACTAATTTTTCTGAAATAATTTGATACCACATGGATCATGGTTTGTCCACGATCGAGCCCGAGTAATCAATCGTATCCTATTAATCTTAATTTGTTATGATTTCGACACAAGTGAACTTAGTGATAATATATTTTACGTTTACGTCCCGGTTGTAGGTATTATTTTTATCCTAACGAACTAGCACGCCAATATTAGTAGGTTTAAAACACGTTGTAAAGTTTATTATATTTTATTTCAACATTGGCATAGTATGAATAATGTATGTATTTCTGTTCATAAATAAATAAACCTTATTTAATTAATAATTAAAAAAAATGCAAATAAACAGGTAAATACTTTTTAGATTTCCAGTATTTCCTGAATCATCGACTCAGTTCTTTAAGAAAGTATTTGAAACTGTTTCAAAGCAAAGAAGAGACAATGGAATAAAGGACATAAAAGATTTACTTGACGCTTTACTTAAGCTTAAGGACGATGATTTAGAAAATAAACAAGGTATGTATGTTTTACGGGATTTGAAATTTCTCCCTAATTCTTTCAATTCTTAAAAATGATCTCCACGCTGACCCGACCACAGATTTTTATATTGAGAGTTGTCACGTACGTAAAAGATATTATAATACACTAGTAAGATCATTTTTAAAAATGATGTTTGCCTCAAGTGATACGTAGACATACTCTTTTGAGTTGCAATTGCTTATTTTCTCATTTCTCATAGAAATCATAAAAACCAGATTACACAGTTCGGGAAGGAAACACATAATTTGTATATTTTTTCAGGGTATACCGATAACGATATTTGGGCCCAGGCTCTGACATTTCTATTTGCAGGTTCTGAAACCTCAAGTTCTGTTTTGAGTTTCATTTTGTATGAATTATCATTCCGACCACAACTACAGGTAAATTTTTTATACTTATTTTATACTAATACTAAAAATTAACCTGTAGTTAATTATTGTCATTATGACGTACCAAAATGTGTTTACGTATTACGTATGGTGGTGACACGAAATGTTAATACGCTGAATATTTTTAGTTAAATTTGGCCATACATAAGCTGCAAATAAATACTGAATAATTTATTCCTGTTCGATATTCTCAATAAATGGTTTGTAAAAAGTTTTATTGTTTACAAATCGTATATTATAAAAATTAAGTGAGTAAATGAATTAGAAGGTTCACAACCTTTTGGTATCCTTTAACATAATCGTAATAGGCCATGGTAAAAACAAACGATCAGAGGGCACAGCTAGTTTACAGCTTTCAATTTAAACTAGAAAATTTATATAAATATAAAAAATGTATAACTCCTTGTTATCATCAAAATCAAATATTGGTAATATTTATTTTCAGGAGAAAATGTTTGAAGAGTTAATAGAGGCGAAGAAAAGTCAAAACGGTTCCTTGGATCTCACTATACAAGCTGATTTAAAGTATTTAAACTGTGTTTTTAATGGTATTAAAAATTGCGTGTTGTTCCCACGAGAATGTAAGTGTGTGCTCCCATTTCACCATGCCTCCTGCTGATAGAGGACAAATCTTTGTTTTTAATTTATTGTAATATTATTAATTAACTATCCATTATTTACTTAAGATATCATGTAGAACATGGTGTAACGGTTGTAGCTCCTTACAAACATTGTGTAAAACAAAAAAATTGGCTATTAAAACGAGTGGCTTATTACCATTTCTTCCCTTCCGTTCTAAGTTTGAATAAATGATTTTGATTTGATTTAAAAACTGTAATAATTAAAGATTCTTAATACACTTACTTCCTCTACGTTTCCATTGTGTCAATTTCTTCCGAAAATGCCGGTTTTTTAAGTAGGAAATTCATGCCCACCTTAAAAAAATACATCTGCTTACTCAAATTCCAGAAGCGTTACGCATGTATCCTCCCCTGGGATGGCTGGACAGAGAGACAATAAATGACTATAAGATAGACGAGAACCTGACTATACCCGCGGGAACACCGATTTATGTCAACGGGATTGGAATGCAGTACGACAGCGACATTTATCCGGACCCTGAGACCTTTAACCCCGAAAGGTTTTTGCCCGAGAATGAGAAAGACCTGAAGCCATTCACTTATATGCCATTTGGAGAGGGCCCAAGGAGCTGTATAGGTGAGTCGTTGATAGAATAGGTTCTACTAAATGGTGTAATATTAATTTCTACTAAATCACTATATTTGCTTTTTATTAAGTACGAGCAAGGCGCATCAGTGCAAATTCCGTTAGACACACGATAAAATAGATTATGTAAACAAATGTATATTTCAGCAAAGAGGTTCGGTCAGATATCAGTGAGAAACGCTATGTCACACTTAATACTAAATTTCAAGTTTAAACCACTGCCGGGAGCACCGAAGCCTTCAGAGGTGAAATACGAAAATAAACATCTCCTTCTGGTACCTGGAGAAAGCCTTTTTATCGATTTTGAACCAAGAAATGTATCTTTCGGTTTATAAATATATTATATAAAAATACATTTGTATGGCTTATTTATTATTTTAATAAAAATAAAGTGGCTATGTGGATCCTACACCCCGAGGATCGTACCTTCAAATCCTAGGTGGGTCATGTAATTTTCCATCTATATGTGCCATTCATATTTAGTCATATCGTTTAGGAAAATATTACTGTTGAAAACAGCTACGTCTCAATAATCTCATTACAATTAAGCATAACCGAAAATATAATTTCAATTTCAAACTGTTTTTCTAGGCATAACAATAGATAGTAAACTTCAGTGGGGCCCACACATAGAGGCTCTTTCGAATAGGCTGAGCTCTGCAGCATATGCAGTAAAGAAAATCCTACAGTTTACTGATAAGGACACGGCTAAAATTGCGTATCATAGCTACTTTCACAGCGTGAATTAGCGTTCTACTTTGGGGTGCTGCTGCAGAGGTTCAATCCATAAATGAAAATTGTATTAGTTTTTACAACAAACTCCCAAGCGAAATTAGAGAATTATAACTAAATAAATTCAAAGCCCTCGTTAAACAAAAATTAATCAATAAAGATTTTTATGAATTTGAGGAATACTTAAATTATCCTAATCCTTGGGATTGATTTGCTCCAGTTCAAACAATTTGTATGACAATACTTGGCGATTTAAAAGTTTCTTGCCAGTTCTTTTTGCCCGCTTTACGCCCTTGACTTGCAAACTGGTAGTAAATGTAAATTTACAATTAATTTAACTTCTTTCTGACAATTCATAAGTGTACTTGTTTACCTACATGAATAAAGATATTTAAAAAAAAAGGGTCCGTGTACTTATGTACGCGCGTAAGAAGTTATACTTCTTTGGCAATATTAAAAATAGTTTGGCTTTGTTCCACCTTCAGTTTTTGATGTTTCACAGCGATAAGATGAAAACTCTTTTTTTGTATTCAATTTAGTGCAGTTACACTGATTCATCAATTGTTTTTTGTCTCTTTTCCTTATATTTGCTAGATAAAATCAGAAAAATTACATGTTTTGATTAAACAATGTGGTTAATTTTTTAATCAAAACATTACTCGATAATAATAATAATACATACGGATAGTTAACCTCAATTGTATTGAAGCACTTAAGAAGGTTGATGAGCACAGTTTTTTCACAAATATTAATTAGTATTGGTTTAAATATTCAATTTAAATCACTTCTGATTATAATTCAAAAAGCATCGCTAAATTTCTTTGAAAAAATAATTAAAACTCCTTTATTTGTTTAAAAGGTAAATGACAAATGTCATTATGGTCATTCAAAATTGTTTGCATACGAACTTCACGCATAGTCTATTTCTTTTTACTTGTAGATTGTCTTATTCCTATCTCGCTTGCGCATGCTATAATCACACTCCTAATTTTGTGTCACGGGTGCGCGCGCATTGTAAAATTTCACTCTCATAAATTTTTCATAACGCGCCTAGTAAGTAAGTATAACTTATTAAATACAAACTAATGTTATAACAAAAGGTTTCTCTCAAGAAAATCGAATCCCCTCTTCCATTCCCAACTCTTCCTTTTTTTTTTTTTTTTTTTTTTTTTTTTTTTTCCCGGGCCCCCCGCACCCCGGGTCCTTTTTCGCGCCTTTTGTTTGGGGGGTTCTCTTCCCCCTTTTTGGTTTTTTGGTTTTTTTCTCCCCTTTTTTTTTTTTTTTTTTTTCTGCTTTTGTGTTTTTTTTTAGTTTCTTTTTTCTTTTTTTTGGCCCCCCTCCCCCTTCCGGGAAGGTGGTGGTTTTGTTTTTTTTTTTTTCCCTCTTCTTCTTTTTTTCTCGCGCCCCCGATCCCCTTTTTTTTTTTTTTTTTCTTCCTTCTTTTTGGGTGGGGGGGGCCCCTTACGACTTTTTTTTTTTTTTTTTTTTTTTTTTTGGTTTTTTTTTTTTGTTTTGGTTTTTTTTTTTTTTTTTTTTTTTTTTTTTTTTTTTTTTGTTTTTTTTTTTTGTTTTTTTTTTTTTTTTTTGTTTTTTTTTTTTTGTGGTTTGGGGTAAAGTTGTCAAAACTCAGACTTAAATTGTATTGTCTTTGATTAACATAACCTTTACACATTTAAAGAAAAACGCTTTTTACCGGATTAAAGTTATGTTTATTTTTATAAATTTACAACTATTTGTCGGATAAATTTAAAATTATGTCAAATAGTTGTAAATTTATAATAATAAACATAACTTTAATCCGGTAAAAAGCGTTTTTCTTCAGACTTAAATTGTCAAGTTTGACGAGAATATTTTTTGTCCATTCACTTTTTTTAAAGCAATTACCTAAAAACCATCAATAACATTTGTGGAGGCACACAGCATGCTTATTGTGTGCTTCCTTCAACCTAAAGAAAGCATACTCGACCAATCCATCCACTGGCCGTCCCGAAGGTCCCAGTAGCTAAGGTCGAGAGGTAGTATATACTTCCGGAATCACTACGTTAGCGCGTTTCAGGGTATGATCACCGTGATTGTAGCTGTAGAATGTTGGTGTCGTTATTACTACCTCCGTACTTCCCCACTTCCCCCGGACTTCGGGGGGAAGTGGGGGGGTCGATCGTGTTCCTTGAAACACGATCGGTATAGGTGTGACGGTGTTGGTCACCAATTACAACCTCTAAGATTCCACTGTATCAACCACGTGTCACGTCAGTTGCGGTGGGTCGGAACTGTATGATGATGATACTGTATGATGCTCCGGTGGGTCGGAGTGATGCAGTCTGCTGCGGCGGCTGAGGTTGTTAACCAAGTTTACGCGCTTGCTGCATGGCAGTGCACAGGATTACTGTAGCCGAAGGTGCTGACTGGTTGTGACTTGCTCCTGTTGATTGATGCTGAACGTGGTGATGTCTTGACGTGTCGCTACACATTTTTCTATCTCCGATATTAACTAATTAAATCGCTAAAACTATCGACAATGTCTATATAATTATGTCGCACATCCGAAGACTCATAACAGCGCAGACGCATCTTTAGACTCAACTAAGTGGGATGTATTTATCATATATTATGATGGTTGTGTGTATTATTGGTTTGGTGTACTTTCGGTGGGTGAATATCAGAAACTTTTGGAAGAGACGTGGGGAGCAATTATATATCCTACGATGTTATAAAATCTAAAATATATTTTGAACTATTGTATATTCATTATTTTCTTCTATAAAGATTTTACTTATGTCCTAAAACTGTATGCCTTATAAAAAGTAGGTACGTTAACTTATTAGCCCATAAACTAGTTTGAAATAACGTTTAACAACGCCAATTATATGAAAATGTTTGATCAAAGAATGTTTATTTTGATAAACCTTTAAATTAATGTTTTGTTGTATTCATCCGACATAGATGAACATGGATGGGAAAACATTAATGTAAGTATGTACTTTATTTTCTCGTTACAAAAACAAATATTTTATTTACATGAGAAACTTAATCTATACTAATATGATAAAGAGGAAAGATTTGATTTTTTGTTTCTTTGAAATGAATAGGCTCCGAAACTACTGGACCGATTTCAAAAATTCTTTCACCGTTGGCAAGTTACACTATTCCCGAGTGACATAGGCCATGTTTTATTTAAAAAAAAATTAATACCATCAAAATAAATACCAACGTTTCACATAAGCTACAATTTAATGGCATAACCACCATACTTTTTTGTTTATTTTTTTACACCTTGGGTTAAAGAGTTTAAAAAAAATTAGGGATGCTTACTAAAACTTGAAGATTTCTTCACACTCCACTCGTGTCTGCCGTGGGCCAGGCGCGGCCAGGTGACCCCAGCGACGGCGGTGATGTGCTTGTGTGACCTACATGAACTCCAGGCTTTTTTAATTCTTCTCTCTACCTCTATATAATAACTTTTAAATGTATTTTGGCCAAGGTCATTATGGTCAACATACTCTTTATTTCTACTGTTGACGGTTAAACTGTATTTTATGCCATTTGTATTATACAATATGTTTTTTCAGGGTTCATTTCCAGTCCTTCTCGTGTCTTCTAGGGATTGAAGCATGTATTGTAAGTCTTCATGTTTTTCAGTTATTAGAACAATGTCACCTGCGCACCGAAGATGGCTTAAATCTTCGCCATTGATGTTTACTCCTAACCTTGACCAATCCAGCTTTCTGAAGATAAATTCCAGAAGTGCGGCGATTAAATTCTTTTCATTTTTTCTCTTTTTAAATGTTCGATTTCTTTTTCTAAGTTTCCAACTTTAATTTTAGGTTTTCATTTTCTGTTAAGATAGGGTTTAACTTCTCATCCATTCATCCACGATTCTTCCAATCTTGTATTCTTTTCCTTCATTTCAATTCTCATTTTCTCAAATAACATCTGAAATTGGTGTTCCATATATAAATAATATAAAAAGTAAACTTGGTTTCGTAGGTATGTGTGCGCCAGAATTCGATCCACAATCAACAATGTGCATGAGGTTCCTAACAACTTGTTATACAATAAGTTATATACAAGTGCTAATCAACTAATTATTTGTCTGGCGAATTATTCTATTATTTACTATTATTACTACTTTATGAAATCGATTTCGTTATGGTAGCTACCGTCTGGTGACTTCCAGGTCCATTTTTTGCTAGGTTTTTTATTAAAGAATGTGTTGAGGATTGCCAGATTGTTTTCGTGACTCAGATTTACTAGTCGTTCTCCGTTATTATTTATCTTTCCTATGGTGTATTCGCCGATGATATTTTCTTCTCCTGATCTTTGCTTGCCAATTTTCCCATTGAAGTCTCCCATAATTATTAAGTTTTTTTCTGTTACATCTATTGTTTTGGATAGTTGATGATAGAATGAGTCTTTTGTGGCTTCTTCTGCTTGTTCTGTTGGTGCATACACTTGTATCAAGGTCCAGTGTTCTCTGTAGCCTGTTATCTTTATTTTTAGGATTGCTATTCTTTCTGAGATGCCTGTGAATTCTAGTATGCTGTTCTTGGGTTCCTTTCTAACCATGAAGCCTACTCCGTAGTGTCCTTTTGTCTCTCCAATA